CCCACATCAAGTATCACAGCATATTAGCAAATAATAGAGACTGAGGTAAATATGTACAATAATTTCTATGACTAAGTACAAATAATGTGAGCATGAATAAAGCCAAAGCATGATCTCTAACATGAAGGCAGACAAGTTCAACAACAAGTAACTACGTAAACACAGATGATGGCCATGAGGCCTCATGGGACGGACCAAGTCTCAATCCCTCGAGGTATACACCCACACGCATGTCACCTAGCGTGGTTATCACCTCTAAACAGTCACACGATATCAAATTCTCTGGGTTTATACCCTCAAAGGCAGAGTTAAAATTGTTACTTACCTTAACAGCGTAAAATTCTATTCCGGGATGCCCTCGTCTCTGAACTCGGTCTCTAAAAGCTCCGAATCTAACCAAAAATCAGAATACTACTATCAACATAGTCTAAAAATCAAATTCCACAATAAAAACTACATAAATATGCCAAAAATTCGAAATCGGCCAAAACCCGGCCCCCGGGCCCACGTCTCAAAATTAGTAAAAAAATAGCAGAATAATAAACCTCGTCCTCTCCCGAGTCTAACCATATAAAATTCATCAAAATCGGACTCCGTTTGGTCCCTCAAATTCTCACTTAAACTCTCCAAAACTCAAACCCTAACTCCCTCAATTTCACTTTGAAATCATCAATCAAATCCCAAAAACGAAGATGAATTCATGAAATATAACTAAAACTGAGTAGAGAACACTTATCCCAATCCTTATGGTGGAAATCGCCCCCAAAATCGGCCAAATCTGAGCTTCCCAACTCAAAATATGACTGAATGAACAAATACTCATTTTATATATTTTTTTTACCAGCTATTCTGCCTCGTTTCTCGTACCAAAAGATCCCGAAATTCGCTTTTTATGACTCCAATGGATTTCTTGTGAAATTGTAGTCAAATTAGGTTTTTGAATCACTCAATTTGACCTTATAATGAAGGACCATAAAATCTGGCAACCTTATTCTTAGTAAAATGACCATAAAATCCTCATACGATGTCCAAATTCGACGATTCTTTTTTCTACGGGTCCGAAATTACGATACGGATCTAATGCTTCAATCAAAAAAGAAATCGGAGCTCATGTGTTCAATATGATATCATTTATGCTTGAAGAAACGGCGTCGAAACATAAGAAAAACGAGCGCAACACAACCCAAACCTATCCGAAACTCACTCGAGGCCCTCGGGACCTCAACCAATAATTCCAACAAGTCATATATCACTACCCGAACTTAGTCGAACCTTCGGAACACCCAAAACAACACCAAAACACCAACTCAACCTCAGATTCAAGCCTAAGAACTTCTAAACTTCCAACTTTCGCCAATTCAAGCCTAATTCTACTACGGACCTCCAACTTACATTCCGGACACACTCTTAAGTCTAAAATCACCCAACGAAACTAATCGAATCATAAAAATCCAAATCCGAATTCGTTTACTCATAAGTCAACTTCCGGTTGACTTTTCTAACTTAGCTTACTAACTAAAAGACTAAGTGTTCATTTCACTCCAAAACTACTCCGAAATCAAACCTACCAAGGCCGTAAACTCTCCCCTTATGCATGCCACCAGCTGCCTTAATCCATATGTCCATGAGCTCCTTTTGGGTTGGTTGGATTGGCCTACCTTGATCATCAATCGGCTGACTTTGAATAAACTCCTCCAAGATTTGTTTGAAATTATTCTGTAAAAATATTACAATTATTATAAAAGTAAATTTTATTAAAGAAAATTATGCAAGTAAGTATCTTTATTTCACAAACTTTAAAGTAAACATGAGAATAAGTGTTGTGATGTATTTAAATAAGTAGGCAACATTTAATGCACAAAACAACTTTCGCCTTTTGTTTTCCCATGTATTTTTCTTTTTCTTCATAATACACTCATTCCCATGTATGGCCTAATTAAGCACACAAAATTAACACTTCAAGAAGCTTCACGAAAATAGTTCAGCACAGATTTCCCTATTTTAGAAGAAAGGCCCAGTGATATAACTATGAAATGAGTATTATTCTCCAAGAAATAGACCAAAGACCTGTAGAAAATAGACCAGTAAAGATAACAAGGAAGAGATGAGAAACCTTATACATAATCAAACACTAGCAGAACAGAACATATCATAAGTTATGGTCAGTAAAGTGGCTAACAGAATCACTGAACTTAATGTATATCAGATATTTAGTCCAAGTGCGAACTTAATGAATATCAGATATTTGTCTAAACCCCTTTCTATAAAGATGAACTTTAACATTCTCCGGTATCAATAACTTTATACAATTGTACTTAGCACACGGACATCTAATCGTTCCTTCATTACGGAATTCAGGAATTGTTTTTGCATAAGCAATAAATCCTTTAACACCTTCTACAAATTCTTCCTTCAATCCCTCACGGTTAAGATGATTTCTACCGTACAGCCATCTACGAACTCGTTCCATCTATTACACAATAACAAAGATAAAATATTAAATAAAGAAGTACATAATTTATTTTATTCAATATATACTAATCAGTACTGTATTACATTTTTTACTTGCAGTCCATCTCGGCACTTATAGTTAATAATGAACCATTCTATTCCTTTGGGCATTTAGCTTATTCTTTATCACTGAAAAACATTAAATTCTTCTTGTCTGTTTCCCTAACAGATAAAAAGATGCTAAATTCACAGCTATGCATAAATGAACTGAACCTGCCCAAGGTAACAGAAAAATAAACAGAATTGTAAGTACTCAAATACAGAATAGAATGTTAATCTTGTTTATCCGGAAGATCGGATATAGTTGAATTTATTAGTAGTTCTAGGGATATGTGATATACCTTGATATAAATCGTACTAGAAATGAAAATGTTTAGATTCTTGGCTATAAAAACGGGATATGAATTATTGAATGAGGAGCTGAAGAGATTTATTCTTGAATAGGAGAAGTTGTCTTTTCTTCCACCTGCCCTGTGCTTCTAGGGATTCCCCTTTTATAGCAGAGGGATCTTACTTTATTTACAATAAAAAATATACAGTGGAAAACCCATGATAAATTGTCTCTTCCTCGATTCCCGTCAAGATTCTCTCCCCTAGTGCGGTTGCAACGGCTCTTGTCTGCGAACTCGATACTGGCTCGAGCTCGTTATTGGGTCGAGCCCTCGGCCTTGGTTCGAGTTCGACATTTGGGGTGAGTGTCAATCAGTCTGTGCGTCTTCAACTACCTTCACGTTGCCTTGCGGTTCGATTTGGTCACGGGCTCGATAATGATACCGAGTCGACTCCTCGATCGGTCTTGGAGCTCGAAACTTGTTTGTACTACCTTCGGAACTCATCTCGGAGTCTCGCTTCGGTCGCTTACCACTCGAACTCGATCAATCGTACGAGGGCCAAAATCTATTTCGACCGTATACAAATCTGTTTCCTTTTTCTTTAACTTTGTCAGATTAAATTCTCTTCCCCCACCCCCATCCCTCTTTGAGATATAAAAATTGACATTTGGTTGAACTGATCTTTTCTGTATTCATACTATAGAATAGAGTTTAAATCCATTTCCAAACAACTACTAAAAATAGATTTCAGTTGGATATATCATTAATCAGACCTAGAAAAGTAAAAAAGTAAAACTCAGGGAGATACAATCATTTTATCAGCATAGTAACTAATTTGAGGATATGGCAGATCTGTCTTTCTTCAGTTGTATGTGACTATTTAGCAGAAGTCTAGTTAAGATATTGGTGATAACTGTTCTCACTATATTTGGCCACTTACATTTGGAAGGAGATAAGTGAAAAAGTAAAAGCTAGGAAGATAGAATTGATTTATTTGCAGAGTAATTATTCCGAGTATATGGCAGGTCTACTTTTCCAGTTTTATGTGACTACTTAGCAGGAGTATAGTTAAGAAATTGGTGAGGACTTCTCTCCCTATATATTCCCAATTACATCTGGAAAGAACTTAATCATCTTCGTTATTCTTCTTCCCATCTCTGCCATTAGATTCGCTCTTTATGCATCTTTTAGGCACTTTAAAACAATGTTACCAATAATCTCATGTTAGAACCATAATAACTCAGTTTTTAGCTGCACATATATAAAGCAGCAAATAAATTTACAGAAAAGATGCTTAAATATGTAGTGAATAACTTAGGGAACGCTTCTCCTTTTAATGGGCTCTACGTTGTAGTGATTCAGATTAATTGGGCTATTAAGTTCCGGATATCGGATGGTTAAACTAAAAAAAAAGTTATATCTTGAGACTTGAGAGGAGTTCCCTTCACATTTCTGAAAAAGACATAAACAAAAGTGGAAAGCAGCAAATAGTCTGACACACATGAAGGAAGCAAACAAATCCAATTGATCACTGCCAACTGCTTATATTCTTGAGAATTCTCCATATTACTAATAAAAGTTATACGCAAAAGGATCTGATTCAATTAAGATGTATTCCTTTGGTTGATTGGAGCAGAAAAAGTTTGGCAAATGTAAATCTCATAAAAAGAAGGCTGAGCAGGCCATGCTTTTTAAAGTAGAAGGAGACTAGAAGGGCTGAGCAACTTTTCACCCTTGCAAATCTCACTTTTCCTAAGAATTCGTATCCTATATCTAGTCAGTGATATCTAGAAAGAACTCGACTCCTCTTCTTTCTTCTTCCTAATTCCACCATAGATTTGCTTTCTACAGCATTATTAGACAAAAATCTGAACTTTTACTCCATGATAGAACTTTTACCCTCAACTTTGCACAAAATCATTAATCTATCCATCTATTTACTCTACAGAAACCACTGACCTTTGCTCCATAGCACCTTTCACCTTAAATTACTACCAACAAGACAAATTTACACATTATTAAACAAAAATCTACCAAGCTAACCCATTTTACTGAGAGTGCATCTGATCTAACTAAAGAAAACCAAACAAAAATTCACAATTTACATTTAAAAAATCATCTTTTTCACAAACAATCAACTTAATCCACAATGCCAAATCACCCATCACTTAATTCACACACACACACAAGACACAAATCTCAAAACCCCGCATACTCTAACAACAGAGATCTATTTCATAAATAAAAAAGTAAAGACTTACAGTACAACATACGTTTTCAACAATATTAGATGTCAAGCTAAATATATCAACAACTACTCAGGTTATAACATGTTAACTGAGAACTTACTCACCTATTTATAGATAGGAGATATGAAGTATATCACTCTGAATGATGGTTGAAAACTTTGCCCTGACTGGTGTAACACAGCAGTGTTGGATCCTTAAGACTGTAAGCCCTTCTAGGTAGGTTGATGTCTTCTGTTATAATGAGTAAAGTTCAGTAAAGTATATATCGAGATTTGAAACAGTATAAAATCAATAGAACAACATTAATTTTTTAAACCTAGGGTTTGAAACAGTATAAAATTCCTAAAAATCGAAGTGTTTTGGGGGAAATCAAAAACGGAAAAAGGAGATCGGGTGAGTGAGTGAGAGGGAGGGAGAGAGAGAGAGACTTACCTGGGAATGGAGTGAAAACTCGTGGTCTGTGCGTGGAGTGAGAGAGACATAGGGGAAAAATACTAAAGACGAAGAGAAAACTTGTAAAACGTTAATAATAATAAGTTTCCACTACTATCGTGGGAAAGTTCTGTTGGAAATATTTTTCATAATTATAAAAAAAAATTAAAAATTCAAAAAAATTCATACACACTAAGTCTGTGGGAATATTTAAAAACCTTTTTTTATTTATTATTTAAGTTCCCACTATCTACTCTGGAAATTTTTTTTTAGTTTTATATAATTTTTTTTTAATGAATTTTCCCGCTGAATGAAAGGGAATTAAAACGCGTGCATTTTTGCGCCAAAACTTTCCCATGAAGAGTCAATGGGAAATGTTATTTATTCTTTATGGAACGAAAATTTTAATTTTTCCATTGCATTTCGGTGGGAATTGCCACTGATAATTGTTTTGTGGGAAAATGCTATGTTTCTAGTAATGGCTGTAGCTTGCTAAGGCCAAACTAAAGGACACTTTATTGCATTATCCTTGATGATATCACACACACATATTATCAACATGAGGCAAGGAATTTCATCTCTCCAACACTAAAAAATCCAAAAAATTATATCCTCTCAAGTGCTAGCCACCACCTCTCTCAAGAACAAAGCTGCTGCAACCTCAAGGACCAAATCCAAAGATTGAAGATATCTTAAGTCCTTAGGTTTGTTGAGTCTTTGTTATTTGTTCTTCATTTGTAATCCTATATTACTTTCAAAAAGTGTCTTTGCAGGACAGATTTAAACCACTGTTTGGTTTAGTTTCTTGACTAGAGTTAGTCAAGGTTTGTTGCTTTGTAATAGTGTTATTACAAAGAGGTTTGCAATATAGTTATTGCAAGTAGGTGGGGGATTAAGAGTTTAATTTCTAGGTTATAATAGGTTGTAATCTAAAGTTGCTCGGTTAGTAAAGTTGAAATCCTACGAGTGTAGGTAGTGGTTTTTAATCCCGTGAGTTGGGAGTTTTCCACGTTAAATATTGCGTGTTCTTTATTTACTGCCGATTTACTGTGGGAACATATAGAGAAGTTGGTTCCCTATATTGTTTTGTATTACAGTCTGTTGTTTACCGTGGGAACTGAGAGAGAACTTGGTTCTATATACAGTTTGGTGGACTCTTAGTTTCTATCAGTTGGTATCTACATGGCTGCTCCACCAAACTTCGAGGAAGGACAATTAACTTACAAACCACCAAGATTCAACGGCCAATACTATGGTTGGTGAAAAACAAGAATGCATGACTTCATCATAGCTGAGGACTCAAAGTTGTGGGATGTAATCTGTGATGGACCTTTTGTTCCCATGAAAACTGTTGGTGAGGGAACAGTTACAGTCCCAAAAACAAGAAAAGAGTACAACAATTATGATAGAAACGTTATAGAGAAAACTTTCAGGGCAAAGAAAATTCTTGTTTGTGGCATCGGGCCAGATGAATATAGTCACATCTCAGCTTGTCAATCTACTAAGGAGATTTGGGAAGCTTTTCAAACTGCCCATGAGGGAACTACTCAAGTTAAGCAGTTCAAAATTGATATGCTTACTACTGAGTATGAGCTTTTCAAGATGAAGGAGGATGAGTCTATTCAAGATATGCACACACGTTTCACCTCCATTATCAATGAGCTTCACTCACTTGGAGAAGTCATCCCAAGAAACAAGCTGGTCCGAAAAATACTCGGTGTTTTACCAGGTTCCTGGGAAAGCAAAGTGAATGCTATCACTGAAGCCAAGGATCTGCAGAAACTGACCATTGATGAACTCATTAGAAATATCAAGACCTATGAGATGAAGAGAAAGAAAGATCTTGAAAGAAGAGAGTCCAAGAAGGAGAAGAACCTGGTTCTCAAAGCTGCCCACAGCGACTCAAGTAGTGATGAATCTGACATGACATATCTCACTCAAAGGTTTCTAAAGATGATTCGTAAAAATGGTGGGATCCTAAAGAAAGGAAGATGCAGCAGGAACTTCAAAGGAAATGATTGTTGTCATAAGTGTGGAAAGCCTGGACATTTCATTAAAGACTGTCCTCTTCATAAGCAGGATTATTACAAAACCAACACTGAAAAGGTAGCTAAGAGGAACCAGGTCCCTGACAGAAAGTTCAAAAGAAGATATGATGTTGAAAACATGGTGAAGCAAGTCCCGGTTAACTGGGGAGATTCCTCCGGTGAATCTAAAGGTGAAGATGACCAAGGAGATACATTTATGATAGTTGCTGACAATGAATCTTCAGAATATGAGTCAATCTTTGCACTCATGGCCAAATCTGATGATGATGAGGACAAGGAGGAAGATGGGGTAAGTTTTCTTGATGTTCAAAGAAATTTAAAAACTTACTCTAAGAAAAAATTGATGCCCTTAGTAAATGTGTTGATTGATGCCTATCATAGTCTCATTAATGAGAAAAATGCTTTAATAGAAGAAATTGGTGACATGGAATAAAAGAGGGATGATATGGTAGTTTCCATTGTAGATTTGAAGGAACAAGTGGAAGAAGTAACTAAAGAAAATAACTTGTAGAAAAACCAAACAAAAAAATGGATGGACAACCATAAGGGTAAAGAAGTGGCTAGTGAGGCTCAACTTGAGCTTGAGAGTGACCTTAAGAAAGTTAAAACAAGTCTTGTTGTTGATCTTGAAAAAAATAGACAACTTCAAGAGGATATGAAAAGGGTTAAAAATGATCTTGATAAGTCACTTAAATGGACATGGTCCTCTGATGTAATAACGTCTTTGTACAAAAGTAATGGTGGAAACATGCAATGAATCAGGTTCCAAAAGGCTAAAACCTCCTATAATCCCCATAGCAAGCATGCAACTGTGGCTTGGCTGTGTACTCACTGTGGTCAAACTGATCATTACAATGACTCTTGTAAAGTTAAAATTCAGTCTCTATAGAAAAATAAAGTTTTATGTTGAAAATAAGCATATTGTTGAGGAACCTGGTCCTATAAGAGGAAAATATATGTTGCATGCGTGGGCGAAAAGAAGTTTGATCCGCTCGTTATATCATTATAAGGGACCCAAGTTGGCTTGGGTTCCTAAGGCTAATCAGTAATTTCGTGTGCAAGCTGGAGTGAGAGGTAGCAGTCAAAAAATAGTATATGGATAGCGGCTGCTCTAAGCATATGACTAGAAGAATGAATGGTTTCCTCTCACTCTAGGCTTTCCAAGGTGTGTGTTCTTTGAAAACGGTAAGAAGGCTATATTCTTGGTGTTGGAAAAATTAACAAAACACTCTCCCATGCAATTGAAAATGTGTACTATGTGAATGGCTTGAAATATAGCTTGTTGAGTGTATCTTAAATCTATGATAAGGAAAAATGAAGTGAAGTTCTTGTCCAAATCTTGCACTTTCACCAATCTTAAAACTGGTGAAATGGTATTGAGAGCCAAGAGATTCAAGAACATCTATGTTGCAGACCTTGATTCACTGAATGGTGGTGATATAACATGCCTAAGTGTCATTGATGATGATACAGAGTTATGGCACAGACGACCGAGACATGCGAGTTTTTATTTGCTAAAAAAGTCGGTTATGGAGAACTTGGTTCGTGGGCTGAAGCATTCAACACTGCCTGCTACTTGATTAACAAGTGCATGATCAGGTCCTTTCTCGAGAAGTCTCTCTATGAACTGCTCAATGGGAGAAAACCCAAGCTAACTTACCCGAGAGCCATTGGATGCAAAATGTTTTGTTCTCAACAATGGTGGCAAATGGTCACATAACAAAGAAGATGAAGATGGAGAATTTATAAATGTTTCCGGTGAAGTTATAGATATTGCAAATAGAAAAGACTAATTTGATGAGTCCAGTCAAGCAAAGCGATGAAGGAGATGTAGTAGAATCTCCAAAAGGCTCAGAGGAACCCGGTCCCTCTATTACCTCGGCTGCTGAACATAGGGTTGTTGATGTTGCATTTTAGGCACTCCTGATGAAGAACAAAGGAGTGGAAGTCATAATTCTTTTGATTTCACTGATGTTTCAAATATGGAGGAACCTGGTCCTTCAAATTCTGAAGATCAAGTATCCAACTAGAAGCAAAAGAGTTCACATCCCTTCCAAATGTAATCACACCCTTAGACTCTGGTATTCAACCTAGTTCTAAGGCAAGGAACATGTTTGCCCTCTCAGCCTTCTTATCTCAAATCGAGCCTAATAACATCAAAGAAGCATTAGAAAATGCTAACTGGATAGCTGCTTTGCAAGAAGAACTCCATCAGTTGAGAGGAACAAAATGTGGCACCTGGTCCCTAGGCCTTCAGATGAACCTGGACCAAAACGCCCTCACTTGAAGGCTGCCAAAGGAATTTTGAGGTATCCTAAGGGAACGCAAGACCTGGTCCTCGTCTATTTTCAGGAGATGCTTTTGACTTGGTGGAATATGCTGATGTTGATTATGTTGAATATCTGGTGGATAGAAAAAGCACATATGGAACGATACATTTTCTGGGGTCATGCTTGATCTCATGGGGTACGAAGAAATAAATTGTGTGGCTCTTTCTACTACTGAAGCTGAATATATAGTTGCTGCTTCTTGTTGTGCTCAACTGCTGTAAATCAAGCAACAACTAGAAGATTTGGGTGTGTTTATAAATTTTATTTCATTGTTGTATGATAATACAAGTGTTCTAAACATTGCAAAGGACCGGTACAGCACAAGGAGACAAAGCGTATTGATGTGCGATATTACTTTTTGAGGGACAATGTTGAAAAAAAGACTTATTTGTATGAAGGTTTGCAAGACAGAGGATCATGTAGCAGATATCTTCACCAAAGAACTGAGCAGAGAACACTTTGAAAGAGGTCGTCTAGAGTTGGGGTTGATCAGGATCAACTAAGGACCTGGTCTCTCGATGATTGGCTATGTAAAGAAGGAAATGTACAATGCTAAAAAGTGTTTTTTCGGTGGCCTCTAACTTAATTCTATATTGTTACAGGTATACACACATAGCAGTTTCAGGAGGAAACAAGTATGAGTGACATTGCACTTCTAGGAGTTTTTGCTCAAATTTTCAAAAACCGTCAAGGAACCTGGTTCCTTTGACTCAGGTTAGTAGTCT